AAAACATTACTGAGATTCTTTTATGATTTTATTTTGTAGCTTGATGGTGTGGTTATTGAGCATGACCTTTACAAATGGCAGCACCCGTCCCAACATCAAAAGGCCGGACGCACCTCGCCTTTGAGTTGTAAAGGGAATGGAGACATGAAGCAGTGCTGTCCTTCTTGACCCCTTGATTTACTAACGGTGACACCAATATTCAAACGGAAAATCACCCAGGAATGTCCTCACCAGCCTAACAGCCATCCCTAATAACTACTGAGAAGCCAGTGTCACCCATGCGGTGACAGTTGATCTTTGTCCCCCTCTTTCTGCCAGCTTGGATCGAAAGCTGCCTGCCCAAGGCCACCCATTATGGAGAACACTCAGAGTCTCAGGCCCAGTCCCCCTCTGCACGCCCTTCACTGTTCCCTAGCTCCCCTTCCTGACCTTTGTGGCACCTCCAGACTCTCTTCCTGTAGGCGTGCCCGTGGAGCCCCTCTTTCTGAGAAAGTTCACATGGCTGAGATGAAATTTTTACATCTTTTGCATCTTTGGTCCTGTCCCTCAATTTAGTTACAGTAAAGGGGTTTGGGAGCTGGAGTCAGGACGTATGAACTTGTCTGTGCATAAGTAATTAGTGTCCTCTGACCACCGCTCCTTGTCTGAGGAGCTGGTGAACTCTGTTAGAGTGTGAGGTGGAACTCTGCAGGCAGTAGGAAGTGCTTCAGGGCACTGGAAGACTGATCACCCACGGGGAGCAGAGGGGCATATATTTTATTCTAGAAAGGTTCTCCCTGTGCCCCTACACTGATCTCTGTATTTGCTTGTGTGAGCCTTACCCTGCATCTGACATGTCACCTGTCCCTTCACTGCACACACTCCCTCCCCACTCTGCCAGGGTCTGTATCCAGATTGTTCCCCAGTGACTCACATTTTATTTAAAGACTGGGTCCCCAACTTGGTGCTAGTGGGAAGTCTGTTGGAAGTTTCAGCAGTAGGGCCTGGTGAGATTTCTTCAGTCATTGGAGATGCTTCCTCGAAGGAAACTGTGGGTCTTTAGTATCTTCGGACTTCTCTCCTGTAACCTGGCCATGAGGTGGACAGTCGCCACACACTTTTGTCATGCTGTGCAGCAGGACAACCTATCATGAACTGGAACTGTGAGCCAGGATAATCCTCTTCTCTTGTTAAGTCGCTTGTCTTGGGTGTATGTCGTAGTCACAGAAAGCTGCTTGTCGGACGAGGCCTGTGCAGTCACTGTGCATTTGTGTCCTCATGGGCGGCCCTGGTGAAGAATGCCAAGCAGGGCAGTGGTGAGGCAGGCTTCTTGAAGCAGGTGGAGAGTCAGGCAGCCACAGTCTCCATCCCAGCAGGAAACGGTATTGTTGCTCCTCACCCAAGCAGGCTGGGCCAGTGCTAGCTGTGGCCCAGTGCCCCTCGGCCTCCAGCCTTCTCTCCTGGCCTCCGATGTAATGGGTTAGGATCATCCAGCATTTGCACAAACAACCTACAAGAAATCAGGGATATGGGAGAAACTTGATGGCTCGTGCCTTTGTGAGCCCTCTTGAGCCAGCTGCCTTTGTTCTATTCCAACGGTTTGCACGGTGGTGGTGATTGTTAGCCAACCCAAAAGGGAGCAGCAGGGAGTTTTCCCTGTTGGTGAGGTCATTCACCCAACAGTGACTGGGCCTCTTCCAGGAGAGTAGTGTGAGTAGATAGCTTCTTGCGAAGATGGACAGACAGATTGAAATGTGGAAACAGGGAGTGAGCCTTACTCTGCTGACAGCAGTCTGGGATGACAAGGTTATCTCTAACTCTGGTAGAAGCTTCACAGGGCTGAGAGAGGACTAGGGAAGGGTGGGCATGTGCTTACACACACAGCTGGCCAGCTGCTCATAAAAGCACAATGGATAGAAAAAGGTAAATTTCAAAACACAGGCTGCATCCCTGTAGAATTCCTTCTCTTGCTGCTATGACAACATGCCTGACAAGAACAATTGTAAGGAAGGGCCTCTCAGCTCACAGTGAGGGTGCAGTCCATTGTAGCAGGGAAGGCGGAGCATCAGGGGAAGGCAGCTGGTCACATTGCTTCTGCAGTCTGGAAATAAAGTGAATGCTGATGCACAGCTTTCTCCTTTGTTCAGTCTGGGACATGCAGCCCATGGGATGATGCTACCCACAGTCAAACCTCTCTGGAAAACACCCTAATAGACACACCCAGGGATATGTTCCCATGGTGATTCTAAATGCCGTCAAATTGACTGTGAGGATTAAACATCACTATGCCCACAATAGGAAGCATGGAGTAGAAAAAAAAAGCGTCAGTGAAAAGCTTTCCTTCTGGTTGTTCCCTTCCCTGGATCCTTCCGGGGATGCTGCAGACATAGGCAGATCGGCAGGATGTGAACACTGTAAAAATCCTTTCCCCCTTCTCAAGAACTCCAGATGGCAGCATCCCCATGCCAAGGGTTCTCTGCCTCTTCTGCTTACCAGCTTCCTCCATGGAGAGGACGTCGAGGCCGACTCCTTCCTGTCAGGCACTATGCCGCCGTGACTCAATCCACCGCTCAATAAGCAGTTGGGTGTGTGAGCTCTGCTTTCAAAATCAGCACTGTCATAACCCCTTATAATAACCTCCTCTTGGTAAGGAGAAGCAGATCTGAGAAATAAACTAACATATCTGCCTGTATGAGCCTGGGTGTGCATGTGCAGGTGCACACGTATGTGCTCAGAGGGCTGCAGGCGTGTGCACATGTGTATGCTCACAGGACACCTTTGGGTTTACTCTTCAGGTGGTATCCATCTTGTCTTTGTTTGTTGTGTTTGTTTGTTTGTTTGTTTGTTTGTTTGTTGAGACAAGGTCTTGCACTCGGCCTTGAATTTTTCAAGTAAGCTAAGTGAGCCCCTGGGATCCTTCTGTCTCTACCTCCCCAAACTGGGATTATAAACACACACCACTATGCCTGGGTTTGTTTGTCTTAGTTTTTAAGTGGTTTCTGGAGATCAAATTCTGCTCTTCATTCTTGCAAATCAAACACTTTGCTGACTGAGCCATCTCCCTAGCTCCACGTCTGTCGTTTTGATCAGCAAAAATGACCCCCCTGCCCCACAGAGGTACGTGTTCTGTACCTTTGGAAATGTGTATGTGGGTTGGACCAGAAAGCCTAAATGGAGATTAGGTGGAGTTACAGTCCAAGGGAAGTTTGATTATGCTCCATGGATCTGGATCTTTCTGTCACAGTGGGTCAAGGGGGACAAGGAAGAGTTGGAAATCACTGGGGACTGCCCCTATCTGGACACACGGAAACCCCCAACCTTAGAAGGGCTTGCCAGTGAGGGTCCTTAGGATGAGTATGTGGCGCAGGTTTTTGGTTCTTTTGTTTTGTTTTTTCCTGACCTGCCTGGTCCACCCTGCTGTGTACACCATAAGCCCTCATCCCGTGCCTATGGGGTGGGGGGGGGTAGGCAGGCCCACAAGAGAAGCAGCAAGGCAGGGTCTAGCAGAAGAGATTGCTATTTCCTGTTTGATACATACGAGTGGAGCTGGCCTGCTCTGTCTGACCTCACTATGAGGGAGTAGACTGACACCATGCTGCAGACTCGGTCAGCTGCATAGTGAGTTCAAGGCCAGCCTGGGGTATATGAGACCCTATCTGAAAGAAAAACACAAGTCCAAAATCAAGGCACGGGGAGTGCCACATTCCCTCCAAAGTGTTCAGGGCAGGCTCTGTCCCTTCTCTTCTGGCCTCTGGTGTTGCCGCCCATCTTTGTCTCCTCGTATTTGTGCATGTATAGCTGCTGCTCCAAGTATCTCTAGTGTCCCCTGTCCCCCGTGTGTGTGTGAGTGCACATGTGCACGCACACACACACACATACACACACACACACACACATACACATGCACATCTGTGTCTCTTGTTTGTTTGTTTGTCTGTCTGTTTGTTTGTTTTGAGTCAGGGTCTCACTGTAGAGCCCTGGCTGACCTGGAACTCACTCACTGTGTAAGCCAGGCTGGCCTCGAATTCCCAGAGACCTACCCGTTATGTTGCTAGTACACCCAGTTATGTTGCCAATTAACTATTATGGGTCAAACTGTGTCCCTGGAAGCATACATTGGAGACTACTTCCCAGTACTGTGAATGTGACTTTATTTAGAGATTGGGGTTTTTCAGGCTAATCAAGTTTGAGTGAGATTCTGTTGGGTTGTGGTGAGCCTGATACAGTATGATAAGCGTCCCCGTAAAAGGAGAGGTATTGGACATGGTAGCACACACCTTTAATCCCAACAATCAGGAGGTAGAGACAGAGGCATACAGGATTATATAATCAGGAATGTTTACAACCCACATCTCTTGTGTACATATTTGTGTGTGTGCATGTACACACGGATGACAGAGGATGTCTTTGTGTACCCTCGAAAGCCTAGAACTTACCAAGTAGGTTAGGCTGGCTGCCTGCACCCCAAGGATTTGTGTGTTTCTGCCAACGCTCCCCAGTGCTGAGAGTGTAAGTGTGTACCACCCTACCGAGCTTGACTTTCTTATGCGGACTCCAAGCTCAGGTCTTCTTGCTTGCAAGGCAAGCACCTTCTGGCTCACCCATATGTGGCTTCTGCAGCAGGGACCTTGGTTCTGCTGAGCTCTCTCTGCATCTCTCTATAAGCAGCCTCCACCAATTCGGCTCCATGGTGTTTGCTTGCGGGCACATGCATGGTGGGGAGGGAGAAGAGAGCGAGACCATGTGGAGAGTAGACCAGCCTGACTATATGCACAGTCAGAACTACAGGACGCCCTCCACACTGCTCACGCCTCAGCATGAACGGTGAGGATACTTCTGAACTTGTAAGGGGTTGTAAATACACTTGTTAAACTCTGCCTTGATTTCTACATTTACTATTTCAGGGTTGATTTTTGTCTTTGTTATTTGGTTGGTCAGAGGAAGGGATGGGCTCTTAGAAGCACAAAGCCCTCTTCTCCACCAAGGCCACACCTCTAACAAGCTCTGTCACCTCCCTGCAGCCTCCAGTGTCTCCTCGTCTCCATCAACACCCACCCAAGTGACCAAGCAGCACCCATTTCCCCTGGAGTCCTACAAGCAGGAGCCTGAACGCCTAGAAAGCCGCATCTATGCTTCCTCATCCCCACCGGACACCAGCCAGCGCTTCTGCCTGGCCTTTCAGAGCCCAGTGCGGCCTCCTCTGGCATCCCCCACGCACCATGCGCCTTTGAGAACTGTAAGTCTGCATCTCTCCCAGGGTGGGGCTGGACCAGGCTATGGGAGGGAAGACGGTGCTTCCCCACACCAGCTGCGACTGCCCAGGGCTAGCATTTGTAAATTGTGCTGTCATAAGTCACAGGCTGAAAACAACATGCAGGTCGGGTAACACTGTAGGAATCAAAGAAGCCATTCTGTCCTTTCTACCTGGAGCATGGCCAAGAGAAAGTCTGTTCCCTCCACTTCTTAAAACTCATGCTTTGGATTTACCTTGACTAGGTTGTGTAACTATCATCAATAAGACAGAATAAATTGGAAGGGAGGGAGGGAGGGAAGGAGGGAAGGAGGAAGAGGAAGGGAAGGGAAAAGAGGAAGGGAAAGGAGGAAGGAGAAAGAAAGAAAGAAAGAAAGAAAGAAAGAAAGAAAGAAAGAAAGAAAGAAAGGAAGGAAGGAAAGGAAGGAAGAGGGATTGTGTTCTAGACTTTTAAGGTCTGACATCACCTGACTTGAGGTAGGTTCTTGGAAAGTTAGTCACTTGGTGGGAAGTGGGACAATATGTCTTTGTTGCTGTCATAGGCTTAACTGAGAAGGTCTGGGGTTGTTGATGCAAGAGGCAAGATTCCCCCTACACCTAGATATTGCCCAAGCTTGGAGCCCCTGAGGGCGGTCGCCTGTTTGGTTTGAGTTAGGTGCTATTAGAGATGCAGAATGATCCTGAATCCAGTGAGGACATACCAGAATAGATGGAGCCCTGTCATTCAGTCATGGTGGTTTCCTTTTCTGGGACTGTGGCAACAAAGCAGTCTCATTAGAAATTGGTTCCAGGACCGTCACAGCACTGAAATCCTTGTGTGCCTCATCCCTTTTATAAAATGGCACGGTTTTGACATGGTGCCCAGGCACATTCCTCTGTAGATTGTCAAACCATCTTTGGATAACAAAATTGATAACACAAAACAAGCTCTATGCGTATCCAATACAGAGGCCATCTTGTTTCATATAGTTCGTGCAATCTGTTAAACCAACAGACTCTGTACCTGTGGGAAAGAAAGGCAAGTATCCCAGACGCCAAGGGCTTAAACCAACACTTTGAATTTTCACACAGTTCTGAAGCTAAAAGGCCAGAGTGAGTGTTTGGGTGGGGTCATGCTTTCTCCTGGCTTCAGAGCTTCTTTTCTCTCCCAGCAGCTACAGCCTGGGCTTTTCTAGATCCTAACTCCACATCCTTAGCCACCTTCCCTCATCGTCTGCCTGTGTCCCATGCCCCTTTTCTTAAGACACTATTCATCTTAGGTCAGAGTCCACCTCGGTGGCTTCATTTTAACCTGGTGACATCCACAAAGACCTTATTTCCAAGTGAGAGTGCCTCTTGAGGATACTACAGTTAAACACCAGCACATCTTCTTGTGGGACGTCATTCAGCCCATAACAGTTGATACCTTAGGGGAGAAAATGTATTTGCCAAGCAGAGAACACACCACGATTGCTCCTCTGACCATTCAAGGACGCTTGGCCGTGGTCATTTGCATGGCAAAGGTTAAACTGCCCCGAACTGCTCTGTCCTCCAGAGCTTACATACTTGCTGGCAGTGTATTAAGCAGTACTCGGGCAAAAGGCTAAGCCAGAGCAGCAAGCTGCCGGCTGGGATAAGGACTGGAGCAGACACAGCACCAGCTGAGCTGACTCCGGAGGAGTGATGTGAGTTTAAATGAGCAGAGAGACAGAAGAGAACCATGACTGGCTGGAACTGGGTATCAGACAGACCCTTTGCTATGAACAGGGATAAACCCCAAGGCTGTCATGCTGAGCAAGAGATGCTGGAGACCAAAGGACAAATATTTCATGGGCTCCTTTACATAAGGTCCCCACACTTCATAGAAGCAGAAAGTGGAGTGTTGGTTTCCCAGGGGCTATTGGGAGAGAGTGGCTTTTTTGTTGTTGTTGTTGTTGTTGTTTGGTTGGTTTTTTTTCGAGACAGGGTTTCTCTGTATAGCCCTGACTGTCCTGGAACTCACTCTGTAGACCAGGCTAGCCTCAAACTCTCGAACTCAGAAATCTGCCTGCCTCTGCCTCCCAAGTGCTGGGATTAAAGGCATGCGCCACCACTGCCCGGCATTTTTTTTTAATTGCATTTTGTTTATTGGTGGGTGGGATGTGGGGTGAGTGTCACAGCACTTGTGCAGAGGTCAGATGACAATCTTCCAGTCTCTCTTCTTCCACCATGTGGATCTCACAGATGAAATCAGGTCCTCTGACTTAGCAGCAATAGCTGTTTCCCACTGAGCCAATCTCACAAGCCCCGGGTGACATTTTTAATGGACATTTCTCTTTGGGAAGATAAGGTGGCCTTGGAGATGGAGGTTGTGAGGACTCCATGACAGCAAGGATACATTTATGTCACAGAACTGTGTGTTTGCAGTGATTCTCTGCTGAGACCTGTATCCTGTGTGCCTCCTAACAAAACAATGAGCTTGTTCATGGTACTTGTCTACTTAAAGCTGTAGGAAACCACGGTGACCAGCAGGGCTCCCCACTTCCATTTCGAAATGGCCTGGTTCAGGAATTGAAACAGAGAGCTAAGGAAATGGCTTAGCGAGTTAAGTACCTGCCACACAAACGTGAGAACTTGGATCTGAATCCCCAGCACCTCTGCAGAAGCTGGAGCAGTGGCAGGAATCTGTAACCTCAGTTCTGGGGGGGTGGGGGAGACAAATAGGTTCTTGGAGATTGAATGGGTTCTTGGAGATCGCAGGTCCTCAAACCTAGCTGAATTAATCAACTTGAGATAAGCCTCAGGGTCAATGAAGAGACCCTGTTCCAGAAATAAGGTGGAGAATCAGAGAAGAATACATCTAATGTCCAACTCTGGCCTTCATGTTGCATGCTACATACAATCACACACACACACACATATCACACACACACACACACAAAGCAGAAAAGGATATCCCTGCCGGGTATTTGCCATTAATAGACCTAACCGTCTGTAAATGTCATCCTGGGAGGGCTGCCCCCACCTGGCACTGTCTACATCCTCTGCAGCCACAGTGGCACGTGTGGGGGGGGTGGCGGGGGGCAGTGTTTGACGTTCATACAGAATGTATCCCTTTGTAATTGGATTTTGTTGGATGCTTTAATTTATGTGCTGTTCCTTAAGAGCTTGGCTGGTTTTGTTAACTCTGCTACTGGCATCATCTTCACGGAGAGATATGAGCCGCTTGAAGATTTCTGGAGCCCTAAAAATATTTCAACATAATTTATCTCTGCTCTTTAGAATAGAGACTCTTTCCATAAACGGGGACCATGAAGATAATTTTTTTCCTAAAGTCAGCTCCCATGAATTTTGTTCTAAAGTTGGAAAGGGACGGGGGTGATAAATGAGTCTTTAGTGACAACACTTATTGAAATCCTTTATTTATTCAATAAATAAATAGAGGCTGGAGAGGTAGCTCAGCTGGTAAAAGTGTTTGTCCAGAGAGCATGAGGTCCAGTGATCGGCGAGTCTCTAGCACCACATAAGCCTGGTACAGGATTCTTATAACCCTAGGACTTGAAAGGTGGAGACAAGAGGATCAGAGGTTCAAGGTCATCCCCACCTTCCAGTAACCCTGAAGGTGGTCTAAGCTATGTGACCCCAGCTACCCAGTAACCTTAAAGGGTCTAAGCTATGTGAGACGTGAGGCCCCGCTTTAAAAGAACGAGTGCCAGATCATGTGCTAGCTTGGGTGGGAGGTGACAGAGCCATGAGCAACGCTCATGCATCTGTGTACGGGACATGCGGCTTCAATAAATAGCCCCTAATTGAACAAAGGAAGGCGCTTTGCCTGCAAATGGGGGTCAGAGGACCATAAAGCATGCTAGAACCTGTTGAGTTGTTGTGGAGAGCAATCTAGTCTCTCTTAGTGACTGGCAGACCCAACCCCTTTCTCAGTGAGGGGGAGCAGTGACCAAGCTCTACATCTGGGTGTATGTTGGTTGGCTGTTGAGATCAGAGAGGATATGCAGGAGCAGAGAGGACCACGCTAGAGGCAGTGGGAAGTGGTCCCGGCCTGGTAGCCGGCAAAGGCAGAGAGAATACAGTGGAGCTGAGAGAGCTCTGAACAGGAAGAAGCAGAAGGCATTTGGCATCTGGTGAATAAGTAACTCAAGGAAGAAAAGAAGAATCAAGGATGATTCTAAAAACTCTGCCTTGACCAGATGGAGTGGATTTGTTGTGTTGGGGACCAAAGTGCTGTGGAGGTCTGTGTCTGTGAGTAAGAGTCAGCCGTTCTGGGACACTACGACACTGTGGCTTCTGTGTCCAAGGGGAACTGGGCGTGTGAACCCAGAACTGGAAGCATCTTAATATAAATATAAAACATTGAGGCAGCGATGGTGTATGAAATGATGTAGAAACTGTTTGGCTGGCAAAGAGGGAATCAAGGAGCGTGGGCAGCTAAGGGACAGACTGGGAAGGGATTCCGAACTGCCCGGGTTCAGGCAGAAAGACAGGAAGCCACACAGAAGGAAATGTTATCCCATTTCACCATGAACTCGGCAAGCCAGCCTCTGGATCCCTGCATGGCCAAGGGCCATAGACACGCACTGGAGAGATGAGAGATAGTATGGACTCTCTCAAGAGGTTTGATGTAGGGGCTGCAGAGATGCTCATGTGCTTGCTTGTAGGAAGCACAGTTTCTCCACTCTTATATAGATTGGGACTCACTGCCTAGGGAATGGTGCTGCCCCATGGGGATGATGTTTCCCACTTCAATTAACTTAATGAAGAGAATATTGCACAGACATGTGCACAAGCCAACCCAATGCAGACAGTCTCTTAGAGAGACTCCTTAATGAGACTCTCTTCCCAGGTGACTCTAGGTTATGTCAATTTGACCATTAAAATGTGCCCGTATGTACTAGCATAGAGACACATATAGGTGTGCACGCACACACACAAACACACACACACACACACACACACACACACACTACTCCTGCTAAGCAAGCACTCCACCACTAAGCTACAGCCCTGGTCTT